CTATTGACTGACTAAGATGTTGCTGTGGTTGCCAATTTGGTATGGCTACCTCAGTGACTGTCAGTTGGCCACTAGTGCTTTGCGTGTGTGGTTGCCTCAGGTCTTGGGCCTCTCTGGGGAGCCACCTGTCTGGTCAGCTTGGACTCTGTCGGGCTGCTGGATCACGGGGTGGTACCGCAGGGTGTGTGGTCTCTGCTGAGCTTCGACCTCCTGTGCTGGACTTCTCCCTGTTCCGTGTGCTCTGGCCTGGGTGGCTGGGATGCTCCGAGGCACCACAGAGAGTGTGGTCTCTGCAGAGCTTCCCCTTCCCCTGCAGGATGTCTCCCTGCTCTGTGCACACTAGGCCAGGCTTGGGATGGAGCTGGGTGGCGGCGGTGAAGCCTACCTGATCGCGCGGCAGCGGCCCCCCCACAGGGTGTGTGGACTCTACGGAGATTCTAACTTCCTTGCTGGACGTCTCTGTGCTCCGTACACATTGGGCTGGGCTGCTGGATTGTGCAGCAGCAGTGTGGTCCCTGTGGAGTTCCCGCCTCCCCTTCCGGACGTCTCCCTTCTCTGAGCGCACTAGGCCGGGCTGGGAATGGAGCCAGGTGCCTGCGGTAAAGCCTACCTGCTGGATCACGCAGTGGCGGCCCCACAGGGTGTGTGGTTTCTGCGGAGCCTCTGCCTTCCTTGCCAGATGTCTCCCCACTCTGTGCGCACTGGGCTGGGCTGGGAATGGAGCCAGGTGGCGGCAGTGAAGCCTATCTGCCAGATCGTGCGACGGCGGGCCCGCAGGGCATGTGGTCTCCGCGGAGCTTCTGCCTCCCCCGCAGGACATCTCCCCGTTCCATATGCACTTGATGTTATGTTTTTATAGTTTAAATCGGTTGATTTGTGGGAGAGAGTGACGCTAGGGACAGTCTATTCCGCTATCTTGACTGGAAGTGCCTTGGGTTCAGTTTGGGAGGCTGGGAAATCCATGGTCCAGAGGGCGCAGCTGGTGAGGGCCTTCTTCTGGGTGGTGACTCTCTACAGAGTTGCGGGGTGTCACCTAGTGAGAATGGCCTCAGCGTGGGCAGGAAGGCACGGCAGCCACGCTGCTCCCCCATACATATTTTTTAAGTTAACAAATAGTTAATTGTATTTTCCGAATTTCCTATAGACAATAAAAGGGTACTTCAAAAAGTTCATGGAAAGACTCATATTATTTTTCAATTCTATGTATCCACAAACGTTTTTTCTCTTTTTTATTAGCATATTCATTATTACAAATCATAATTATTCTTTATGCTCCTTACCCAATCAGTCCCCAACCCCCCTCCCTCCATTAAGTTTTTGAAATACCCTCGTTATGTTTAATCCTTACAGCTGAAAAAAAATGCTTCCCGAAGAGTTATAATATAGGAAGGAATGAAGTGAAACTAATATTAAGAAGTCACCTAGCAGAGCACAAAGCTCAAAGTTGAAGGCCCAGTTCAATTATCAAAAGGCTGAAGGCCCGGTGAAACCCTGGTCCCAGACTTACCAAGTTTTTGACCTGATGCTGGGTGCTGGCCTTGAAAGCTATGGTTGGCAGCTCATTGCGAAGGTAATCCAGCCACTTCTCCACAACCTCCTTGGGGACCAGGTCTGGAGAAAACAGGAAAAGATGGGCTAGTAAGGAGAACAGAACCTCCGTGACTCACTCCAAAGACACATCCACCCACACCTAAGGCTAGGCCCACCTCCCACCAACAGGTCTCTCTGCTGGTCCTGTCAGTCCCCAAGTTATAAAGGACAATCTGGTCTACAAGACCAGTTGGGCCCTCCATGAGGGGGCCTCTGTTCCCTCAGGGAAAATGGACAAAGTAGTTGTTTGGTCCCAGAGGTCCTCCTTCCAAGTCAAGGTGCCCAGGGTGCCAGGGGCCTGTCAAATATTGTGTTTCCCATCCCATCTCTGGATCATTCTAGGTTGGGCCAAATGTCAAGAATAACCCTGATAAGAATGGCTTTCATTTGTGAAGTAGTGACCATGTACAAAGCACTTTATCCTTAATTCTCACAACAAACCTTTGAGGTTAGAACACCCATGATCCATTTTATAGCTAGAGAAATGGGAGCTCTGAGGTGACATGACTTGTCCAATATCCCTGAGAAAATAACACAGGTGGGATGAGATCCAGACCTGAGTGACTCCTAAGCCCCTGTGCTTTTCTGCCCTAGTCTTTGGGTTCCAGCTTGAGGGAGAGAGGAGGCTCTGCAGGGTTGTCCAGTCACAGAAAAGGCTCAAAATGGCAAGAACAGGAGACTGACTGACAGGCAGGCTCAGACTCCACTCCCAACTTGTGCTATACTCTGCGTGTGTGTGTGTGTGTGTGTGTGTGTGTCTCTTCAGACAGCATTCCTCGCTTTGAAAATTAGAAAAAGAATTCTTACAGTACATGCCTGTTATGAGTACCACTGAGTTGCTTGGTCTCAGTGTCTCATCTGAGCTAGTCTTTCCAGAAGGACCAGCCCATTCCCTGCCGTACCCAATCCTACCAAACACCCACCAATCTTGTTCAAAACCAAGACCAGCTTCTTGGTGCCTTCCGCCCGAAGGACAGCCTCCTCCATTTGGAAGCAGCGGCAGCCCAATGGGTCTCTGGCATCTAGGACTTCCAGAATCACATCAGAGTATTCCACCACCTACAGGGCAGAGGACGGAGGGATGAAGGCAGAGAAAGGATTGGGCAGTAGTCACACAGGTCTGTGAAAGAAAAAGTCTCCATCTCAGGAAAAAACAGAAATAGGACTGAATTGGGGCCCTCCCCAAAGGGCCTTAAGAAATGGATCTTCATACCTTACAGAACTCCTTGTAATAAGCGTTCCTTGTGGCCTCGTCATCCAGCTGAGGAAACATATTTAATTCCTCCAAAACTTCCCCCTAAAGGAGGAAAAAAAAGAATGGCCCGGAGGAGGGGGCAGACAGAGAGAGAGAGAGAGAGATAGCCAAGGCTTTGGAAACCACAGGAGGCTGGGGAAACCATGACCAAACAACAAAGCTGGGAACCAGAACAACAGATAGACCCACATGCATGGTGCATGTGTGTGCCCTATGTGTATGTACGTGTCTTAGCACCAGCCAGAGGACTGAGTGTGCACATGGGTGTGTGAGGAAGGAATGTGTGAGGGAGGTGTAAGTGAGAAAAACAATCTCTGGGGGACATTAAACAGGGGAGGCAAAATATGTACTATATGTCAGAAAAGGCAGTATGAGTTCACAAGTATGTATTCTGTGCGTGAGACAAGAACATATGCCAGAAAGACAGCAAGAAGCCTGCGAAGAAAGATGACATCCCCTCACAAATGCGTCTCTGTTTCCTCCCCTCATACTCTCGCTTCCTCTCCCCCCATCCCCACCCTCAGTCACATCTCTCCCAACTCTGATCCCACCACCACTCCCAGTCTTTGGGTTCAAGCTTGAAAGAGGGGAGCTCTCCAGGGATGTCCAGTCACAAGGCTTAAAATGTCCTTTAACTCCCTTGCATACTCCCTCCCCACTGCTTTCCACCCTCACCCTCTCTGCACAGATTCCCTCCTTCCTCTCCAACAACCTCACTCCGTTCCTCTTTCCCTTTCACAGAGCAACAGCAAGTTGCTTTTGAGCAAACCTGCACCAGTCCTGCCTGGGGACAGGGCTGCTCTCTTACCTTGTGCTCAAACTCCTCCTGGCGTCTCAGGACATCCTGACAGTAACTCTCAATGGTCCTACGTCTGTGTCTCTCTTGCTCCCGGGCAGCTTGCTGCTTCTGCCTCATCTCCTCAACCTAACAAGTGAACACAAACTGGGACTGTACCTGACTGAGTCTGCAGCTTAAGGGAGGGATGGGTGACAGAGGAAACAGTGTGACATGGCACAGGGGGAGGGCAGGTATGACAGCAGGAGATAAAGGGTTTGAGAAAAAAAGAGCAATGAAGGGAGGGAAAGAGTGGCAGAGAAAAATAAAAAGTGTGTGTGAAGCACAGAGAGATGCATGCTAGGCAGAGGGACCCAATTAAGACCAATGAGGGACAGAGGACAAGGTCCTGGGATGCTATATCGTTTAAAGGGCAGAAAGAGGAAAGAGCAGCAAGAGAGACTGGAAAAGACTGGACAAAGAGGAAAGATGACATCCAGGAGAGTGAGATGATAAGAAAGTCAGAGTGCTCGAGGAAAGCACAGTCTCTGATGCTGAGAATTCCAACGAGATGAAGGAAGAAAACTACCCATGAATGTGATGTCAGGGAAGGCACTGGTAGAGCAGCAGGGGTAGTTTCAGGGGAGCCATGGGAGCATAAGCCAGGCAGCAAATGTACTAGGAGGTGAGGGGGAGGTTACCTCCCTCTCTTCCCCCTCCCACTTTGGCCTTTGCCCTTCCGTCCAACACTTTGTGGACCTAGCATTCAAACCAGGTCCTCTCTCTCCCCCAAGATAAACGGCTTACCCTCTTCTTCTTTAATTCGACCTCCCAACTGGCATGATCATTAGAGTAAACAAACTGGGGAGCAGAGGACACTTTAGAAGTTGTTTTCTTCCCATTTTGCTTTGCAGGCTGGTCACCACACAAGAGAAATAAAATCAAAGACAGATAATGAACCCATGGAAATCACACTGCCCCCAGTGTGATTAGTTGTGGTGGGGAAAGAGAGAAAAGGAGTAAGCAAAAAGGGCTCTGTCCCCAGAGATCTGTCCATCTGGCTGGAGAGAGCCCCTCCCTCCCCTAGCCAGACATGGACTGACTGAAGAACAGCAGGAAAACAGTGGGGGCAGAGGGAGGGGCAGCTGGGAAGGATTCCCAAGGCCCAGGGAAAAGCTTTCTACACAAGTAGCTCTCAAAGTGTGGTCCTTTGACCAGCAGAAATAGCACCTGAGAACTTGTCAGAAATACAAATTATCAGATGTCATGCCAGACCTACTGAATCAGAAACTATGGGGTGGAGCCCAGCAATCTGTGTTTTCACCAGCCCTCCAGGTAATTCTGGAGGGTTGGTTCAAGTTCGAGAGCTTAACCCACACTAACTTTGGAGAACCCAAGCCTTCTCTCTAGCCCATACCTTCTTCTCACTGCTCTAGCCCAAGCCTTACTTGCCCACACCTTTCCCAGCAGGACCAGGAGACCCAGTAGCTGGATCCAATGTTGTGGCATCCCTCCTCTCCAGGACAAACAGGGACTTGGGAATCAGACAGACTCAAGTCCCAGCTGTTAACCTAGGAAAGTTTCTCACTGAGGTTCAGTTTCTTCATCTAAAAAATGGGGATAATGATAATGCCTACCAAGGTAAATCAAGCACAAAGTAGCACATGGTTTGTGGTGGGAACTGAATAAACACTGCTGATTCTCTGTTGTGGCTACCCAGAGAGAGAGAGAAAGCCAGATTTGCTGATTCCAATGCAGCACTCTGTTCAGAGTCACCCAATATTTACTGGTTTTTGTGGGCCTCTCCTAGGGCAGGCAACCTATTCCTGACCTTACCCCCACCAATGGGCATACCCCACCTGAGTGTAAGATCAACTTACCTTCTTGCAGCCTTTGGAACCTTTACCTGGCTTTTTATTTTCTACAAAAAAAAAAAAAAGAAGAACGAACGATCATCTACCTACCCAACATTTGTTGACACCTCAATCAAGGTCAGGTCACACCACAAACCTAGGAAGCCACAGACACTATGTGTGTCTAGATCCAGCACAAGACAGAAAGATGCAGATGGCAATAACAGTGTCAGAGGAAGTGCTGGATATAATGTTTGGAGCATTATTTCAATGCAAACTCAAACAATTCTTAAGGGAATTAAGTAGAGAGAAACACCTGAATGTGCACTTGTGACTCCTCTCTCCCTGCCAACTTCCTGCTGTGGGCAATAAAGTTTCAGTGCTAGGCTGAGGTGAGGGAGCTGACAGCATGGGAAGGTGATCTGAGGAGTCCCAGCCGGCTAAGCCTGGGTAGATGCCCTCATCATGTAGAGAAAGAACTACCCATTCCTGCTGACCCTGCTCAGGCCATTGCTTCTAAAGGAAACTGACCCACTCAGCTAAACTACTGCCTCCCTTAGATACCAGGAGAGAGCTGCTACTTCTCCAACCAGGTCTTAACAAAGCCCAGGAACTTAAGAGGTCTCTCCCCACTTCAACAAGAAGTCCCATCTGTCATCCCATTCACAGTTAGCCTCTTGAGGAAGAATGGTTTCTCTAAATTCTCACTACCTGCAAGGGGACTACAGGAATTCCTAGAGAGGGAGGAGGTTCTGGAAGGTCAGGAAATATACAAACAAATATATGAGCAGCTCAAGATCACCAGAAAACAGGCTCCCCGATCACATCAGGTGGCTCATAGTGAAGCAAAGTTAATGCAGGAAACAGAACTTAAATACTACTGCAAATTCGAAAGGAACTGAGTAAGAAAAAAAGATTCCCAAAATTTGATATTGAATAAAAATGCAATAAATATAGTGAAAAACAGAACAGACATCACTAACCACCAAAGTAATAAGCTAGAAGACCAAGGGATGGAGCTTACTGAAAACAGAACAAAAATCCAAAGAAATAAAAATTATGAGTGAAAATATAAAATTAAAAAATGGAGAACAGACCCAGGAGAGCTAATACCTAAATAAAAGGAATTCTTGATAAAGAGGCACAAATGGAGAAGCAATAATTTTCTTAAATAATAGATGCAAGTTCCTTAATTTGAAGGTAGGCTTGAGGATTCAGATTGCAAAGGTGCATGGAGCATCAAGATTAACCACAAAAAAAAAACATACCCTGGGTACATCCTGATGAAATTTCTGAACTCCAAGGATAAGAGAAAATCATATAAGATTCCAAACAGAAAGTTTCCAACAAATGAGAGAGAAGCAGGCCACCTTCTCAAATCTACAACTCTGAACACTTAAGACAGAAGAAAAGCTATTACAAACCTCTGAGAAAAACGACTGTGTTCCAAGCCAAATTCCTCACCTACCCAATAGATCACTCTTATGGGAAGTAAAAGAAAGACATTTTCAGATGTGCAAAGATTACCATCTGTGTTTCCTTTCTGGTAAAACTATTGGCAAAATTAAAAAGTAAATCAGAAGAAAAAATCTCAAGCTAAAGAAAACAAATAGTGGTGGACAAGAAATCTATTAAAACTTATCATTAAATCTAAAAAAGAGAGCTGGTAATATGGCTAAGAACTGTAATACATATTAAGAAAGGATCCTTAAAATCCAGTAAGTATATCATAAGGAACTAGCTCAGAACTAAAAAACCAAATTATTTCAACAAAATTCAGGAATCAAGCAATGGAGGTTGGAAAAAAAAGCAAAAGCACGAACGCATGCTAACAGTTTCACTTTGGAAGGGTAGGATAAAAGAAGTTATTATTTAACTTTGGTAAAGCGATAGAGAAATACAGGTTTAATTATGTCTGACATAAATATGAATGCAATTACCAACATAACTTTAATTACTGGTGGACTATTGTTTAAAAACTTCATCAATGGGCTGGCCCGGTGGCGCACTCGGTAGAGGGCGGCGCTCCCGCTGAGGGTTCGGATCCCATATAGAGACCGGTCCACTCACTGGTTGAGCGCGGTGCGGGCGTGACACTGAGGGTTGCGATCCCGTTGCTGGTCGCCGTACGGGTGCAACACCAAGGGTTGCGATCCCGTTACCGGTCACGAAAAAAGACAAAAAGGAAAAAAAAAAAAAACTTCATCAACTGAGAAAAAAAATAAGGGAATAAGAGGAAAAAATAAACAATAAATATAAAATAAGATCGTAGAAATTTAACTAGACATATTAGTTATCATAACAAATATGAATGGGTCAAATTTCCCTGTTAAAGAAAACCCCCACAAAACAGAGCCCACGTCTCCTTTTTTCCCAAAGTACTCATGATGCAACAAAAAAGAATATGAAGTTTGGAAAGAACCAGGTCTGCCCTCCCCCCTTTTTTTTTAAATGGCTGATGGAAATGGACCCGAACACGTCACCTTGACCTTGGTGTTATAACACTACACTAACCAACTGAAATAACTGGCCAGGCTCACCTCTGGCCATTTTACTCAACAATTTCCACCTGTGTTAACTTGCCTAGAAACTGAGCACCTGCGCTGGATACAGGCACACAATGAAAGAAAATACATCACTTAGACAGGGGAGAGCATCTGCTGCAGAGCAAAGAAGGGAAGGGGGAAGGAGAGGAGAAAAGGGGAGGGGTACACACTGTCATTGCTCACAGCACCGCAGCACTCAGGAGCCTCTGCTCATCGGTTTGTCAACAGCTTCAAAGAGAAAACAGCTACCATCTTATAGCCAGCAGAATGAGGTTCTTATTCTGGTTCAACATCTAGCTGGTTATATGACCTTGAAGAACTTTTAAAAATCTCTCTGAGCCTCATGTGTGCATCTCCCAACAACATATAGGCCTAAAATCACCAACTCTCACATCAGTACTCAAAGGCAAATCTCTCCATTCATTCACCCCTCATCTCCCATACTCTCACCCCCATATATCCCTGTACACCCATCCTTACAGACTTCATTCCCCTCCATTCTCCCTCTGCCCTTGCATCAAACCTCTCACAATGCCCTCTGAAACTCGCACTTGGGTGATCAGCACTCCCCTAATTCCTCAACCTCTCCTTGGGAAAAATTCCCCCAAACTCCTGCCTTGAAACTTGGTTCTCCCAAGAACAATGCTTCACTTGCAGGCCTCTCAAAAGGTGGTTTCCTCCGGCACATGGTTATCTTGGAGCCAGTACGTAGAGGAGGTGTTCTCCAGACTTACCATTGCCAAACTCGGACTATTTCTCCCTCTTGTTTTAAAAAAAAAAAAAAAAAAAAAAAAAGATAAATACAACTCCTGCTCTTTTTGAGGCCTCCACCATGCTGCTATGCCTGTCATCTATGAGTCACACCTGGCTCATAGCTATACTTTCTATCCAACTCCTGCCACCATCACCTGGATGACCTTGGCAAACACTGAACAACCTGAGTTTCCCACTTCCTTGACATCCTCACTTCCAGAGATTTCCACTCCATCTCAGCCACCCATTTCTATGGTTACACCTCCAGGGGCATCACCTGTAACTGTCTGGACTTCTGAAAGCAGTCTCAGACACCCCTCTCTCCTATCTTCAAACTCATTTGTCCAACTTCCTAGACTTGAACCCTCTAGTCAGCTCCTTATTTATCAGCCACCCCTCTTCCCTCCCTGTCCAGCTAACATTCCACGGTCTATCATTACAATTGCGCTCTTGCACAAAGCCACAATTCCGTTGCCCCTCCACTGCCCTAACAGGATATATTTACAAGTGTTTGTTAACTGACCGGCTGGCAAACAAGCAGGCAGACTGGTTCCAGATTATACACCTGTACCACCAACACTGATGGCTATAAACTTCTCAAGTGATGAAACACCCCTCCCCTTTTAAATAACCACCCAAAAATGTACAATTAAAACTATTTGAATACTCTTTGTAGGACTCCTCCATAACCTTCCCAGATTTCATCATTATCATTATCATTTGGGTCCAAGATATCCCTAGACCAGGGTGGAGGCAGCAGCACCACTCAGCACCTTCCTTCGTCTTCCTTCACAATCATCTGTTAGTCTGATCATTATTTTTGTTGCAATCTACTAGTGAAGGTCTTACTTTGTGTGCACGTGTAAAGTTTTTCTATTTAATTTAATTCTCACCATTTTCCCCACTAATGTAGACGTAGAGGATTGTTCTTTATTTTTAACAGGTAATAGTCGCATGGTTCCAAAACAAAAAGGTGTATTTTGAGGGGTCTCCCTCCCACACTTCTCCCTATTTATTGCAGTCCCCTCACCACAAGAAACCACTTTACTAGTTTATTGTGCATCATTCAGTTTCTTTATTCAAGAACAAATATACCTTCTTATTTCCCCCAATTTCCTCCCACAAAAGGTAACATACTGTAGTCCTTTCAACCTGCTTTTTTCACTGAACAAATCCTGGAGATCTTTCCATCTAATAGTTTTTCCGTACAATACACTTTTTCCATATAATCAATCCATTCAATACTTTCTCATTTTATAAACTGCCAGGATTCTTATGTATGCATATATCCTACTTTATTATTTTTGTCTTATAGAGATTGTTCATCCTGAACTACTTTATTAAGCCAACTAATTATTGTCTTTCTCATCACTATCAATATTTTTATCATCATCTGGTATCAGATGTCCCTAAATAAAGTATAATTAATTTTGATCATTTTTCTTGTTACTTGTAAAAATGATTATTTGCTTTTTGGTACTGACATACTTTCATTCTTAATAAAATTTTGTATGATTATATAAAGAAAATGTACTGAATTTTTTTTCACCAAGCCCTACATAGGCAGGGCCACCATTCACACAGAATACAGGGCCACTGGGTTGTGCAATTCCCATCCAGTCTACCCAGTGTGCTATCCAAATGTCATCATTTTCTATGTGGACCATGGCAGGACATGCCCTTCCCTCTTATGAGGGAGAGTCTATGTGTCACACTTGTCTTCTCCTTCTAGGCTGTAGGCATCGTGATGCGAGGAAGGGGAATTGAGTCAGCACTACTAACTGAGATACTCTAGTGCCTGGCACACAGTAAGTACCAAAAGACTGCCTGGTCATGCTGGGCCCTTGGGACACAAGGATGAGTCAGATGTAGGTGAGAAGTTAACAGTGTAGTGGAGAAGACAGATTTGATCATACAGTGTCAATAGCCCCAGTTCTTATGGGTGCACAGATGATAACCAAGGGAGAAGGTTAACAGGGAGGGATTCCCAGAGGAAGTGATGTATAAGTTGAAAACCTGAAAAACAAGCAAGAGTTATCCAGTTGAAGAATTAGGGGGAAGGAAAGGAAAGAATCGTGAAGGCAGAAAGAATGGCAATTCATCCACATGGTCTGTTTTATAGTTAAGAAAAATCCAAAGCTCAGTAGAGGTCAGACAATTTGGTGGCAGGACAGTGTATGCATCCTCTGAGGGGCTAAATTCCAAAGAGAAAAGAAGAGAGAATTTTTTTAAGCCAATATCTACAGTACAGTCATCCCTTGGTATCCTCAGGGAATTGGTTCCAGGACCCCCAGTGGATACCAAAATCTGCAGATACTCAAGCCCCTGATAAAAAATGGCACAGTATTTGCTTATAACTTATATACATCCTCCCATATGCTTTAAATCATCTCTAGATTACTTAAAATACCTAATACAATGTAAATGCTATGAAATAGTTGTTATACTGCATTGTTTTTTAATTTGTATTATTTTCATTGTTGTATTGTTATTTTTTATTGGTTTTTTTCCCGAATATTTTCCATCCATGGTTTGTTGAATCCGCGGATGCAGAACCCATGGATATAGAGGGCCGATTATATTTACAGAGCTCTTATTATGTGCCAGGCACTGTTCTAAGTATTTTACCTCTCTTAATTCATTAAATCCTCATAACAAAGCTATTAGGTAGATAATATAATTACCTGTTTTATAGATAAGGAGACTAGAGTTAAGTAACTTGACCAAGGTCACACAGCTAGTAAATGGGAAAGCTGAGATTCAAACCCAATCTGATTCCAGAGTCCATGTTCTTAACCACTGGTACAACTTATAAAGAAAAATATTTGGATATGTTAGGGTTATGGGTAGTGTGATATGGTATTTACTGCTATTCACCTCAGATCGAGTCACTTAACCTTGCTGAGCCTCAGTTTCCTCATCTGTAAAATGGGAATGGGGACTAAGGAGAGCATTACCTTATAAGGAAGTCAGGAAGACAGCAATAATACCATATGAAAAAGACACAGACTTACATATGGTATCTAGAACATTTGTAAAAATCTGGAGTAATCTGGAACATATGGAGCAATTTTTAAAACTTGCTGTGAAATACTATGAATATTCACTAAAAGCATAGGATTGGGAGGGGGTGGTAAAGGAAACTCACTGTGTCTAATTTTCATCATGATGACCAGTTTGAAAGCAGGTAAGTTCAAATCTGCCCAATTTCTTCCTGTCAGAATGGGAAAAGAAGCATTTGAAGACAGAGTTGGGAACACAATGCCACAAGTCCCCTCTAAAGTCCCCTAAAGGCAAAATAAAAAGTTTAAGAACATGATGAGGAAGCCCTAACACTTAGGGAAAGTGGGAGAAGGGGCTATACTGGAGCTAGGGCCTGGTATGGCTGAATCTACACAGGGAAGGCAGTGTCACATTACCTAAAGGGAAGAATAGGTCTGAACCTCTCTTCCTCAGTGGAGTCAATGCCTCAATGCACCGGATGAGGTCCTTGATCCTTAATCCTTCACCCTGGAGTGTTACATATACCCTAAGAGGCTAGTGCTAAACCCCTCACATTGAGGGGAAAGAAAGGGGTATGCAATGGTGGTCTGTTTCTGCACGAGGTGATAACAGCACCTCTTTTCCCAAGTAGGGCGTTCTGTGTCTCATGAGGGGGTAGCAGGGGGAATCGATCCCAGGAGTCTATCCTGGAGAAAAGAGACCTCAGAACAGGACTTCTTACCTGTGTGTCTATGTGGACTGCAGTTAGTGCAAAATCTTGGAGGAAGGGGGAAAAATCTGTGTCTGCATGTGTGGTAGGGTCTGTACCCCAGCAACTGGGTGGGGGGAATGTTGCCATCTCTCCCTCTACTCTAGGTTGCAGAGAAACTGGAGAAACCTACACAGTGGCTGTGTGCATCTCTGCTGGATGGAGAAGCACAGGTCGATATAGTTCGAAATTGTGGGGAGGGGAGGGGTCCTGTGTCTCTTTTTACCCTGAAGAGAGCTGTGGGCAGGACTGATATGCCTGACTCCACTATGAGGGGACATTAGTGCCACACTAACAAAGGAAGAAAATGTGCAGCTTTGAATGAGTGGGGTCTGCACCTTGCCTGCAGTGGACTATTTGGGACTATTCTATGGGAGGTGGACTGGAACGATCTGTGTAACTTTTATGTGAGTTGAAGTAAGTAGCATGCTAACATTGAAGGGAATACGGCCTCTGTTTCTCAGCAGGGGTCGGGGGTAGAGCGGCAGCAAGCAATCCAGCTATAAATTCAATGGATTGGCCTTTACACTTGGAGTGGGGGGATCGGGGGGGCTCTGTGATTTTACCCTGGATGGAGACAAACAGATCTGAGCTCCTCTGCCTTGGGTAAGGGGAAAACCCACATGCACTGCACTATGGGGTGACCAGTGATGTCACAGCCTCTTAACATTACTGGGAGGGGAAGCTGCATCCCTACTCCCGTGGGGCCTCTCCCTTGCTACATTTGGTGATTCTGAATCCTTGGGGTTGGGGGGTGATCTGTGTCTACCTCAAAAAGAGGGGGTAAAAATCTGAGCCCCTCTACCCGGAAGGCCCCTTGAAGAGCAGATCTGTCTCTTCGTGGACTAAGGTCTGTTCCTGTTTGCTGAGAGGCATGTTGGGTTGGGCCTTTACACATTCGGTAAAACACCGCCTCTTTACAGGTGTAAGGGACGGGTCTGATTCTCCCCATTGGGCACTCACTCTAGCCTAGGAAGAAGAAATCTGCGTGGCTCTCCACAGGCTGAGGCCTGTGCCTGCAACCACTTCGGGGAAGGGTTATCTATGGTCTCAGCAGGATGGGGGCGGGGCTTCCGACAATTAGTTACTCTGCTGGAGTAGGGGAAAGATGGGGAGGGCTCTAGGTCTCTACACGTAGGGAAGGTTTCTGTACATTGAATGTTTCTAAGCACGTCTATACTGACGATGAGGGGGAGGGGAATACATCAAAGCCCGTGTCCTGAGGAAGGAGGTGCCTCGAGGTGGACGCCCTAAGCTGGGAAAGGTCTGCACCACTCAGCCACCTGGAGAGGAATATGTCTATAAGGTTGGGGTCGATGCCACCACACTTTTGGCGGATGGACGCCTGTATGCTCCAAGGGAAAGCGGAGTGCAGCCTCACTATCCTGAGGGGCAGAGAGCGATCGACGCTTCTCCAAACAAGTGGGGTCTCTGCCTCTGTACACAGTGTGTCTAGAGTCTACACCTTTCTAGGTGGGTTAGGACTGTGCCCCTCTACCCCACCAGACTGCAGTTCGGCGCGCCTCCACGTGCAGAGCGATACCTACCCCTTTTCTGGGCCCTTCTACCCTGGAAGGGAGGCGGCTGTTTACCTTTCTATTCCAGGCCGGCGGGCATCTCTGGTTTCATCTTAAATAGACAACCGCTACCGCCCGGCCGGCTGGGTGAGCGCTCACCGTAAGAAAAGAGGAGAGTGGTCTCTTACCTACACTTCCGGAGAGATCTGAGAAGAGAGGGTAGCACGACAACTCGGTCGGCGCAGGAAATGCTCCCACTTCCGGATCCCAGCCCTCCGGCGTGCGGTTCCGCCCGCTGTGAGACTCCCCGCAGGGGCGGAGCTTCAGACTGAAGGCTCGAGACCTCCCATTTCTTCCTCGACACCACGCTGGTCCCGCCTCCTGGCTGCCTTGTGAGTAACGAAATAGCGGAGAGTGGAGGGATAAGGCCGGGAAGTGGGAGGGGGAAGCGGCGGGTCGCCTGTGTGGCCATGTAACCTACTAGTAAGCCAAAATCTTGTGTGCGGCCCTGTATCTAGGATGAAATATGTGTGTTCCCAAATCTTAGTGACCAGGCGATCACCATGCCCGCATCAGACGAGGGTGGGGGTCGTGTCTTTGTCTGCCTGGAAGATGGCGACGGGCAGGGTATGAGAAAATGGCCGCTTGGGGCATATGTCTGAAGTGAATTGGTTAGCTGTTTCCAACAAACTTCCCGGCCCAGCTCGTAGAGCCCCAGACAAACCCCAAGGCAGCATTCCCAGTACTTTCTGCAGGAGCTCAGATCCATGGCCAGGCCCAGTCCGAGTAGCCGGAACTGGAAACCTCTCCCACCCATTTGCCCTTTTCTCCTCCTCCCTCCTTCCCTCAGTCCTGGAGTAGCGTCTGCAGAAAGGAATTAACTTATGTCTCTGGAGTCGAAACAAGAAAGGGTTTCTTCGGAAACCACCTCAAGGAGCTCCTCACCTGGCTAGGGAGTGAGGTCTTCCTCTAAATACAGTAAATACTATCTGAAAATGTCTTCTCCTGATTGTTTAATTCCGGCTCCTCTTCCTCAAGCCTAAACCTTGGGGTGGGGCACGGGATAGGTGGGGCTCTACCCCCAGGGTATGTTTCTACCTCAAGCACATCTCAGTTGAAAATGACTCCCTCTGCCCTCCTACCCCATACACACACAGGACTCACGACCCTCGCATCAGTGGAGAGCCTCTAACCTCTCACCTTAGAGACACACAGAATTCCTCTGGACCCCAAACCAGCCCTGGCCACCTTCACCTTTCCCCCAACATTGCAAATTCTTCCTATTTCTCTGACTTAACTCTTGTCATTTCTATGAAACGTTCCCTGACTTTCCCAGATGAATTAGAAACCCAGAGCACCTTGTCTACAGAGCTAACCTAGCACTTACTACATAATACTGTAGTTGTTTATGTGGCTGTATCTTCAAAGAAGGGTGAACCCTCTGAGAGCAGGGGCCATATATCTTTTGAGCCCTCAACAAGACCCAGTACAAGACTGATAGGGCAGGCTTCAGCAGATGTTTGTTAAGTACGTGACTTTATAGGCCTGCACCACAATTCAATGGGAAATGGACAGTTTAGTAGATAGGATTGAGAAATTTGATTCACTATAAAGAGAAAAATAAAACTGGATCCCTACTTATTCCAATTAAGAGGGTAGACTGTGAATGTGAAATGTAAAACTTAATATAAAATATGCAGTAGAATATCTTTGTGACCTATGTCCCCGGGAGAGACTTTTTAAACAAAGTCCCAAATGCACAAACTATAAGGAGAAAGTTGTAAGTAAATCTTCGTTAGGAGTGAAAATTGGTATTACTGCTTTGGAAAGCAATTAGGGAAGTATCCAGAACAGTTGAGGATGGCCCTCGGACCCAACAATTCTAGTTTGGAGGAAGAGAGAGAGAGAGAGAGAGAGAGCATCTCCCCTAGACTAGGTCCTAGAGAAATTCTTTTATGTATGTTCAAGTAGGAATGTACAAGAATATTCATTGCAGAACTGTTTGTAATAGAGAAAAAATTGAACAACCTAAAAGTCCACCAACAGGAACATGAATAAATAATAATACTGTGCAACAAAGAATGAATCAGAGTTGCATACATCATCCTGGATAAATTTCAAAAACACAATACTGAGATAAAATACAAGTTGCAAAAGGATACATGAAGTATGAAACCATTTATATAGAGTTTTTTAAAAATCTAGAAGACTTCATTATGTTGTTTATAGATTATATGAAATATATAAACAAAAATTTATAAAGCAGAAATGCCACTACAGAATGGTGACTGCTTCTAGAGAAGAAAGCAAAGGAACAGAATGACATAGACAGGAGACTTCAACTTGTCTGTCTAATATTTCACCCTCTAAGCTGGGTAGTAAGTACATGGGTGTTTGTTATATTATTTTCTATACTTGTTCATATGCCTGAAATATTTCACAATTTTTTAAAAGACTACAAGGATCTCCAACAAAATATTAATACTAGTTAAATCTAGATCAGTGGTTCTCTAACTTTGGCCAGCATCAGAATCACTGGGAGGGTTTGTTATGACACCAGTTACTGGGTGTCATGCCCAGAGTTTTGATTCAGTAAGTCTGGTTTAGAGCCCAGGAATTTACATTTCTAACAAGTTCCCAAGTGGTGATGATGAGGATGCTGAAGAAGCTGCTACTGCTGCTAGTTCAGGTACCACATTTTGAGAACTGCTAATGGAGAAAATGAGATTATCAGTGAATTTAATTTTCTTCCATGTGCTTTTCTGTGTTTTCCATGTATTCAATGAATATGTATTACTTTAGTGAGAGGGTTTTTTTGTTTTTTAAAATCACTTTCATCTCTACTTCCCACTTTCATTTCCCTCCTGTATGCAGCCATTCTAAGGTGTTTTATGCATATCTTTTTGTTTATATGTGTTCTTGCAAAATACGTGGTGTTGTTTTATGTGCATGTATTTCCCCCAAATTTTTATTTTTTAATTTTTTAAAATTCAGAGCAGTTGAAAAAATAGTATAATGAAAGCCCATATACCCTTAATATTTTGCCCACATAACAACAATACCATTATCACACCTAAAAATTTAAAAGTAATTTATTTTTTTTTTATTTATTTTTTTTTTTTAAAGATGACCGGTAAGGGGATCTCAACCCTTGGCTAGGTGTTGTCAGCACCACGCTCAGCCCGTGAGCAAACCGGCCATCCCTATATAGGATCCGAACCCGTGGCCTTGGTGTTATCAGCACCGCACTCTACCGAGTGAGCCACAGGCCGGCCCTAAAAGTAATTTAATAATATCATCAAATATAGTCCATATTCAAATTTCCCAGTTAACCCTAAAATGGTTTTAGAGCTGCATTTATTTATTTATTATTTTTTTGCATGGCTAGCTGGTTACAGGGATTGTTGCAACCCATGACTTTGAGGTTATAAGGCTGTGCTCTAACCGGCTAGCCTGCATTTATTTTTTGATCCCAGGATCTAATCAAGGTTTATGCATTACTTTGGTTGTTTTTTTGGTTTGGGGGTTTTTCTGGGTTTTTTTTTTTACATTTGGCTGGTACAGGGATTGAACCCTGGACCTTACTGTTATCCGCACCACGCTCTAACCAGCTGAGCTAACTGGCCAGCCCCCTTTAATCTCTTTTAATCTAAAACAGTACTCCTATATTTTTTGCGTGTTCCAAATGACATTTTTATTTTCAAAGAGTCCAGGACAATTGTCTTGTAGAATATCCCACATTCTGGATTCATCTGCTCTTTCCACATGATTAGATTCTGATTAAATATTTTCAGCAAGAATAGTACATAGGGGATATCCTTTACTTCATATTATGTCACCTCAGGTGACACATAGTATCAGGTTGTCCTACTATCGAGGATGCTTTATGTGTGTATCTTTTTATTTTATATAAATGATACCTCATTCTGTTTCTTACTTTTTCATTCAGGCTTGAGTTTTTAAGGTCTGCCCATACTGCTATATATACATCTAATCCATTGTTTCTTACTGTTCATGGGAACCACAGTGTGTCTTCACTGCATTTTCCCTGAATAGTTCCCCTGTGAAGGACAGCAAGATTGCCTCCATCTCCCCGGTACCACATACAATACTTCAATGAACATCCTTGTCTATGTCCCCTTATTGACTTGTATCAGGATTACTTTGGGAACATACACCCAAGAACAGAATGATTGCATCCTAAAGTGTCCATATACTTAGTTTGACTAAGAACACCAATACTAATAAATGGTTCCTGGTTTCTGATTTTAGCATATAAATGCTGCTAGTGTTTCCTGGTTAAGTAAAATGCTGGATTTGAGGATAAACCTATCTGTAGAGCAAGAGAGAGAAAATATATCAAGGAAGAAACCATATATTCCTGTTTTATTGAATGTTTTTATAAAGAATGGGTGTTGAATTTTGTCAAAAGATTCTTTGGCGTCTCTGGGAGATGAAGATAGGACTTTTCTACTTAGACTTAATAATGTTAGATTGTATCAATGGATTTCCTAATATTGAACAATTCTTGCATTCCTGGAATAAATCCCACAGTCACGTATTCTGGTTGCTGATATTTTATGTAGGATTTTGCATCGATACTTATAAGTGAGGAGGATTAGTCTATATGATTTTTTTTTCTTGTGGAATCTTTGTCAGATCTTGGTATCAGTGTTATACTTACTTCATAAAAAGATTTTGAATCTGTTCATTCTTTATCTAGGCTCAGGTAAATAAAATGGCAGTGAAAGGATCTTGGTCTGGTGCTTTTGCGGGGTGGGGAGCTCTTTATAACTTTCTCTATTTCTTCCATGGAAATTAATCTATATGGACTTTTCTCTTTTAGGGTAAGTTTTGGTAAACTGTGTTTTCCTAGAACATTATGCATTTCTTCCAGTTCTTTAAAGTGATTTGCATAGAGTTGTATGAAGTCTTTTATGATGTTTAAAATGTCCTCTTACTATGGTTATGTCCAGCTTTTCATTTCTTATTTTGTATATTTGTGCTTTCTTCTTTTCTTTTCTTGATTATGTTATCTAGTAGCTTTTTCACAGAATTGGCTTATTACTTTATTCATTAGTCCTACTGTTATCTAGATGTTTTCTAACTCCTTTATTTCAACTTTTATCTTTGTTAATTCTTTCCTTCTGCTGCCCTTAAATTTATTTTGTTTTTCTCTCTCTAACTTTTTGAGTCCAATGCTCATTCATTTTTCTTTTTTTAAATATATTTTAAGGCTATGAACTTTCCTCTGACCACTG